AGCAATGGGGAAAATGGAAAGCCAGAAGGAAATCAGAACTGAGAAAGAGAGAAGACCGCAAAATGCGGTTGAGCTGCAGAACCATTAATTTGTTTGTTGCCTGTTTTAACCCCGCACAGGTTTCCGAATGGGAAGGCACTGGCTGGTATCCTTAGACAATTTGAAATTAATATTTAAATGGCTATGCAAATTCACTGTCAGCTGAAAATGAGCAAGTGCCTGTGGAAATTGCTGCGGTCGCCAAGGAAGGAAACTATTTTCAACTTCACTTAGCAGCAGTGCTTTCGCGTCTTTTTCGCTTTCTTTTCCCCGCAATTTATTAATTTTTTGTTTGTTTTTGATAAGCGTTCCAGTCGGGACTTTAATAAATTCTGGAAAAACAAAATGAAAAAGAAAATGCTGAAAGGGTTTTATATTGGAAATTTCAATGTTGCAATTATGCAAGAAATAAGAAGTATTTCTAAATATTTAAAATGCTTGGAGCTGTTTAAAGCAGATCTGTTAAATATAATTGTATTTGGAATTCTGCTAGTCTGAAAGTTCCCCTCACTGACTCACTGAAAATCATCGAAATACTGGGAAGAGCCGTTCGGAAAACCACTCAGTTGATTTTCACTCAACGTTCTCAGCAAGCTCTGTCTCTTAAGAGCTTTCTGTTGGGAGGCAATGGCGGAAAAGAGATTTCCCAAAGCTTTACCTTCGGAGAGCGTCATAACAACAAATCGAGTGTTTGTTGTCGCTGAGTCTTTGAGGTAAACAACATATGGCAAAATATGGAAACAGGCGGCCGAAACTAAATTGCTCAAATATTGATATTTGCATGGCCGCAACGAAAGGAAACTGCGAGTGTGTTTAGTATGTTTGGTGTGAGCAAACCCAGGCAGAGCATATAATTTACAACATTTTTGAGAAAATACTCGAGCAGTTATTGCATAAATATGGCTGGCATAAACAAAGCAGAAACGAGTGCTCTTTCACTTTCACTTGGGCATTTTCCTCTCTTAGCGCTTTTCTCACTCCGAGTGGGCCGACTCGGTTTTCATTTCCCTGCTTTTGTTTCCTGCTTAACAACAGCTGTTGGCAACATTTTCTCAAATGTTAGCTGGCCGGCCTGCTTTTCGGCTCATTACTGAAAGCCGAGCTTCGGGTCGTTGAGCTAGAACCAAAGGCGCCGTTCGTGGCCAAGTTCGTTGAGTGCAAACTGCAGTTCGCAGCGGCTGCGACGCCGGCGTCGAGTGCAACTATTGGCTTTGACCGTTTAGGTTCGTGTCTTCGTATCCGCGATTCTTGGCAACTCGAAAAGCGTAGCTCGCAGCTCGCAGCTCGCAACTCGGAACCAGGCGCCTGCAACTCGCAATCCGCCCAAGAAGCGCACTTTGGTTGCAAGTGCCGCCCGCTTGTGCCGCCGCTTCTGCGATATAGATTCCGATTTAGCCTTCAGTCTCCAGCCGACTTCCTCTACGTGCGGTTCTCACTCGTCAGTCGCCAGTTGCCAGTCGCCAGAACTCGTAGAATTAGAATTCGTCGCTAGAGTTGCTCGTTGACGCGCTTGCAGTTCGCAGTTCGCAATTCGCAATTCGCAGTCCGCAATCCGCAATCCGCAATCCGCAGTTTGCAGCTCCGCTCAGCTTCTCTCAGCCGGGAGTTATCCTTTCGTCACTTTCTAATAGAGCAGATCCTTTCGCCCTTCAGTTGCGCGCGCGTTTCTCCAGCTCGTGATCTTTTGCCCAACCGAAACTGTGTGGAAAAACTGTTTGAAAGGGAAGCCCCTTTCAGTTTGGTGGACTTTAAGTGACTTAAAAAGAACCCAAAAAGATTGTGAGACAAACCTAACAAGTTAAAGCTTATAGCAGTTAATCAACAGTTTTACTATAAGACTCAGAAAAAGGTATAGAAATATTAAGTTATTGGTTACAAATAAATAAATACCGAACGTTTTCTACAATACAATAAACTGCACATTTTAAATAAAAAAAACAGTCGCTCTTGCCTTTTAACAAGTAGCAGTTATATAAAGCAAAATACTCCATTATAAGATATGTGTTTACATAAACTTTAAGTTTATTTTTATTTTTTTATTTATTTTCTATTCTATTTAATTTCTATTAAAGTAATTTGTTTTTTTTTTTTTGCAGGTAGAAATCTTTAACTTTCCGTTAATGTAACTATTGTGTTTTATAAAGTTTATGATAAGCAATGTTTTTAATAAATAAAGGTTGTTTATAAGCCCAGTATATTTTGTTCAAATTTGATTATACTTTTATTTCAGTCAGCGAATTAATAAAGAGTCCAGAAACTAAAACTATTATTTTGTTTAATTTTAAAGCATTGGAATTGTTTCTTTGAACTATCTCGAAAGTTGAGCTGATTAGTAGAGTTGCTTTGAGGCAGCTAAATTTGCATTGGGTTGCCTTTAATTTATTGGAAACTCGGGAACAAAGGAAGTTGTTGCCGTTTCGTTGCCCTCTCAAAACAAATTCCAAACTAAGTTGCAGGACACCGCTCCCACCCGCAACTCCATCATCACCATCACCATCATCATCATCATCATCGACGTCGTGGCGAGGGATTGTTGGTTGTATTTTGGTACCAAATATCGTAACCGAAACCACAACATTCGACGTCAATCAGCAAAGCAGATTTCAATAGCTGTCCCAGAGCCTCCAAGTTGCTGCCGAAGTTGCTGTTCTGGCGCTGCAGTTGTTGTCGAACAGCATTCGCAATGCCTTCGGCCAGCTGCTGGAGCACCCCACAATTTTCCGTACCGCCCTCCTCAAACATTCCCCCCCGGCTTTCCCAGCTCTCTAGTTCTCATCTCGGCTGCTTCCAGCTGTGCCGAGCTGTTTCCGTTCATTGGCAAGAGTAGATTGGCCCATAAAGTTGCGAGTTGTTAGTTGCCAGTTCCAGTTTCGATTTGCCTGGCTTTTTTCCCCTGACAAAATTGAAGCCGAGGCAATGGCAAGTGCTGGACGTCGTGCAGAAGATTTAGCTTAAACAATCAACACGGTCCAAATTGGGCTTCCCCTGCTGCTACGGTCTTTCTCCCATTCTGACCGAATTAGGTAGTTTTTATTTTCAATTTCGTAGATAGTTTTAAATTATTAAAGCTCTCACTTTTAATCGGAACTATGAAAATTAAAGTGACCGCTTTCCAATTTTAAAAACAAATTTACACGACCCTTTAAGTTAACACTTAAACTACTTTTCGGTCGTGATCAGTTTATTTTCTTAATCTTCCTATTTTCTGGTGTTTGCTATTGCATCCAACAATTGATTGAGTTCCCCCATCTGCAGATGATTAAGTTATTTACTCTACCTACAAACCAAATCTAGTTCGACTATAATTTCCCTTTCTATCGCCTTTCAAATAGTTAGTTTTATTGGCCCAATCCATCCATAAATCTGCTCACATTAACTACAACTCCACACCTCGGCGGCACTTTGCGTATTAAACTGTCTTCAGGCTTCTCGGGTTCGCGGCTGATACTTTTTTGTTCAATAGCTTATCTTATATAAATCTATCCTTGTAAAACCATTAGTTTTTTTATGGCCTTAAGTCGTGGGCATTAAGTCGTAAATTAGGCCAGCTGACAATCTGACAGATGGACAACGCCGAGTTGATAGGAGACGGCGGCTATTCATTAATTGCGGACACTAAAATGTTTACGGCAACTGCCTCACATGTGCGGCTGGTTGCTCGCAAATTTTGTGTTTGGCCTTTGGCAAACTTTTAGTGTCGAATATCAAGTGATTTTAAAGTTTATCACGCGACTCGTTTTTACACACATAGCGAACAACGCCCTCTTTTAAGTAAAAGGCGGCAGTTCAAATGGGAGGAAGTGCAACTGGATCCCCGCCGAGTGGTTTCCTTAGCGAAAGGTGAAACATGATTCCCTCACATGGCCAGACCAACTGATGACTAGAAAGTGGTTAATCATTTGTTAGCGAATCCCTGATAGCCACTTATCACCTATTTACGAGTTCCAAAAATGGATCATAATCATTAAAAAGTCGGATAATTACGAACTCAAAAAACTCTTAAAAAATTACTTTCTAAAGTTAAAGTTATGGTCTCTCAAGTTAAAGTGCATTAACAGAAAATTAAATTTAAGTTTCTTATAAATTGATTTGTTTTTACGAGCAAAGAAAACACGAGACCGGAAAATTAGTTTATACCTTATAATTAAAAAGATCATTACAATTTTTCATTGAAATTTATTGCTGGATAGTAAATTGTTTCTCAATGTTTTCAACAAGTTACGATACCGCCTATTCAATTTATTATCACTGTAAAAAGTTTGAAGAGAAATTAATTGATTTTACACTAAAATCAAATTTTTAAACGAAACAACCAATGAAAATTGATTACACCTTTGATCACACCGTGCATATATATCAAAAAACGAATTACGAGTGTGTAGTGTAAATGACATTTTTCTATTAGAGATTTGCAAGGCTTAAATAAATGTTAGCGAATCGATAAATGCCGCCCATTTGCATACGTTTCCTTTTGGCAAAACTGAAATTATCAAAATGATTATGATACCCACGATATTGAAGGATTATTTCGGCATTTCAGCCTCGTCACGGAGTGGCTTTCAGTAGTTCCTGCCTGCTTGCCACCGCGACTTTCGACTCTAGACTCTCGACGGGTGGTAACCGAAGCATTTAGGCCGAATGTATAACTGCCAATCTGTCAACGTGTTTACCGACAGCCCGCGACCGAAACTGCAACCGAAGCTGCCGCGGTGTAGCAGCTAATAGGGAAATAATTAATTTCCACTTTGATGTGTGTTATGCATTTTGAGCCGAACTGGTAATTTATTCGGCAGTCGCTTGACGGCTTTTCTGAAAAACGAGCGGGTTTTCTGAAGCCGGCATCGCTGCCCCATTTCCGTATTCTTTTCGGCTTTCTCGGCTGGCCTACTTTCCGATTTGTGTCTCATCTGGTGCATTTCTACTTCTTACTTGCAGCTTCTTTTGCGTTCCGCCGACTCTCCGTCTCTGCCTTCAATTGCCCAGGTAAGTTGAACAAAAGTCTCTGATTAGTGGAGCGTTCAGCGGGAAGTCCAAAGAAAAGCGAAAAGAGGAAATTTGAGTGGGGAAACGGGAATGCTGGGGGAATTGCAGTGCACTATGTGCTTTTATGATAAATGATTTGCGATTTGTGTGCATTCGTTTGAGTTTTATAGACGTTTCATTACCAGTTCCCCACCAACAATTCTCGTTGGCGCATCGTAAAAAATGATTCCGCCTGCAACGCAGAATCAAATCAAACTGCATGGAAAATTGCCACGAACGGGGGCGGATTTTCCGGATGAAGGGCGGCGAGTATTTGCATGGATTTTTAGGAGCCAGTGATTTGGCTTTTAATGCATCCCGGAGGCCCCGTGCACAAAGTTGCCATTTAATAGTCATTGATGGGATTGATCTTGCAACTTTGCAGCATGCAAAGCGGGAAAACGGCTTTCAAATTGGATTAAAAGCACTTAAATTAAACTGAGAAAAGAGTTAACGCTTTTAGAAAACTCAATAAAGTTAGCTACCTGTTTAGCATAAATAAAAGTTGGACTGGTAAAAAAGCTATGAAGCTTATAAAGGTAAAAGTAAAGATTTTGAAATTATAATTTATTAACATTAGATATAGTGAGCTGCGGCAAACACACAAACTAATTAAATATTTTGATTGAAGATATTTTTTTTATAGATTAAAAGCAATTTAAAATATAGCCACTTTCAGTTCAAAACAAGCAATCAAACAAGTTCGAGCGATGGCCACGAAAGTTGCAGTCACGAATCAATCCATCAAGCGTCGCTCGTGGAACCGATTGACTTGTTGACCACCTGAGAGGTGTTGACTGCTGAGTGCTGACTGCTGACTGCCATCAAATTCCAGGCAGCTTCCACTCGAAACGAGAGCCAAGGAATCAAAAGTTTGCCGGGGTCGTGGCAAGTGCTTTTCACCCCTTCGCTTCCTTCGGATTGAGCAGGACGCACAAAAGGGGTTCAAAAGGTGGCAGCACCCACCCTTGGGAGAAAGCGGGTGACAAAGCCGTCACAGCAAGTATCGTGTTATCCTCTTTGCAAAAGGACACGACTCTGTCCTTTCAATGGCTTTAAAATGCAGCAATTAAACCGCAATTTCTATAAAATGCGAAAGAATACAATCCGGGTGGGGGCCAAGTGGAAGTGGAAGTGGAAGGAGCGGGACAACAATTACGAGATCCATTTAACTTTGGCAGGATGCGAAGAATGCGACACATGTCGCTAAAACTCGACGGGGAGCCAACAAAACTGGCGACACGCCGACTGAACTCACGAGAGGACACACTCGCATCCGCATTCATGTCCTGGCCGCGTTCAAAAGTCAGCAAACACAGGATAAAATAAAATAAAATCATATGAAGCGGGCAAGGAAACTTTGCTGCGTCGCTAAAAGCGCACAAATCTTTCCTTGCCAAGCTTTTCAGAATATGAACCAAAGCAATGCACAGAGAAGATTTTATATTTTTTGCTAATTAACATGGAGAATTTAAAATGGTAAAAATATATTTTTAGTTGGAACCCAAACTATTCTTCGGGCGAACTAGCTAAGCAGCTAATTTATATTTTATAATGACATTTTTTTTAATATAAAGGGGAGAATATTGTAATTTCTTGCTGTGCGCAAGGACGACAGAGTCGCAGCATCAGACAATCAGCACAGGATGTTTTTGCGCTCATTATGCGCCAGCTGCAGCTGCAGAAAATTTTTACGCCAGCTTGTGTGTGTCCCTGTATCCTTTTGTTGATCCCTCACATAAACATTGAGCCAAAGAAGTCAAACGAAGGAGGCAAATTTTGATACTCTTTTAAATGTACGAAAAATCATACTCTTTTAAGGAGTAACTAAAATACATTTTTTCTGAGTTCTTTAAAATGTATAATGATTCATATAACATTTTTTAAGTAAAAATCCAAAAGTCACTTCCTTATTTAAATATGCACTCACATTTGAACTAGTTTTGATCAAAATAGACTGAATCCTATAAACAACATAATCAGTGAAAGAGGCGTTTAACGTAAAGCCTGTAAGTGTTACTGACTTACAATGTGGTCAAATCGGTTAATTATCTAGTCTGAACTAGTCTTGTATCGGTTATGAAATGGCAATAAAACTGGCTACTAGTTGATTGGGGCGCGCTAATAAAAAAGTTTGAAAACGGGGAATTTTTTAATCGGTGCCAATTCGGTTCGATTTGGCATATCTAAACTTTACTAGCTGGCCTGAGGATAAGATACAATTTTAGATAAAAGTTAAATTTATTTCCTTTTAATTACTAACGCTATGAAAACAATTTATTTAAAAACTGCTTTTTAGGCTTTTATATGGCAGTAAAAAGTATTTTATTGTGGCATCTCAACAAGACCTCACATTTGAAAAGGGTATGCAATTCGGAACCACATTCAGATAAAAATGTCTATTTTGTGCTTTGTGTGTGTACGAGTATGTAAATAAATAAAAGTGATGTACTATGTGTGTCCCCGCTCGCTGCATTCTTTGAGTGTGCTTTATTCACAGGTGCGGGTGTGAGTGCGGGCTTGAATATGAGTCTGGGTGGCAGTGGGAAGTGGGAGTACGAGTGGGTCTATGTGTGTAATTGAGTTTCACTTGGCGAACAGACGACCGTCTGACATTGACTTTATTCAGAGCAACGCCTGTTGGCAAGACAAACAACTGAGACACAACGACTCCGGGATTCGGAGAAAGGGATTCGAGGAAATGCGGAGACAGGAGAAAGGAGAGCTGCCCGATTCAGATCTTATTTTCTGGAGTGCAAGCAGAAGTCAGAGGGGCTTAATGCACTTAAGAATTATGTGAGCCATGACAGGGAAAGGCCAAAGAATTATGCGGATTGTTGTTCGCAACTTGTTTTGTCGCCCAAACTTGCACTCAGATTAGGAAAATTGTTTTTGCAAGATGAGTTGGTAAATTGAGCTCGCAGTTTTGCCATTTATAAGCCTCAAAGTTCATTTTATGTGGCGACTGTCAAACAATGCCTTCTTTCCAGAGAACATATAACTCCTTGGTAAACAAAATTGTATTTAAATTTACTCACATTTAGGATAATTAATCTATTTGAGAACTAAAACACATTTCTTGTGTGCCTGACTAAAAGCGTTTTTGGTTTTAAATACCAGAACATTAAGCACCAATTTCTGCGGCGTATATTCTCTATGCAGATTCCGAAATCCCGACCATCATTGACATAATTCCTCACCGAAATCGACATGAATATTTAGTATCGGCCGCAAATATGACGGGATTAAAACCGTAAAAAGAAACGCCAGCATAATTGTCGAGTTGTGTGCAGCCAACAGCAGTCAAATGCGATTGACAAACCCACAGTACACACATATCGAAATCGGGGAGAGGTGCTAGAAAAGAGCCACAAAATCCACACAATGCCAAACACCACTGCGACTGATGTTGCGGGGTGAAAGTCTGGGGCAAGGGGAAGGTGAAATGATAAAACATCGGCATTTGCAACGGCAAAATACTGAATAAGTGATTCAATGAAGTGAATCGGTGATTGAATGCCAGCGTTGGGGATGTGGGGCAAAACGGGTTGCAGATTGGGGACTTTCCGAAACCTTTTGTAACCGATTTGCCTGCGATTATGGGGCTCTCGTGCCTTCTCTGCAGAGCTTGTATTTAGCACTCTTTTGGGCTTTCCTCTTGCCAGGAAATACTCAAGGGATAAACCGGGTATGCCAGGTGGGTTCGAGTTTCGAGTTTCTCTCTGCAATTTCAGTACACTTTTAGGGTCTATCTTGAGAATTCATCGGGTAATGGTTAAACAACAAATATGACCTTTTGCAACAGTCAGTGGTTCTTGGTTCTTAAAGATTTTAATTTAATTTTTGTAGAGGTAAAGTTAGAGGTAAGATAAAGCAAAGTAGGGATTACATTTTTGTAAGTTTAACAAACATTAATCCATTCCTTTGGGAACCTCATGTTCGATTACTCTCCCCGGAATCGATTGTCGAATCTTTTGTCTTATTTTGGTGCTTGGTGTTTGGGTTGGGGATTGGGATTACGCTCTTTTTTGGTGTCGGCTGTGCCTAATTTGGAGACCATTTCGCATCGCTAATGCTGCCGCCGGTGGCGTGAGTTCGCGTCAGTTGGCAACAGCAGCTCGGTGGTCGTGGCAGCCTGGCCAACATGCCAGACCGCTGCCACGCCTCCCAATCTGGTGCCGCCCCTGGACAGGGTCCCCTCAATCCCACCCAGTCCCCCTCAATCCCTTTATCCCCCCAACGCCCCTTGTCCTCGTGTGGCGGCTGTCATGTCGCTGCATTCACTCGTGCATACATGAAAGTCAATTAAGCGTATTAAGTGTGTATGTGTGCATGTACATGGCCATGTGTGAGTGCGACGCCCTCCCCGTCCTGTCCCCAATATCCTTTCTCCGCTCCACGCTCCCCTCCCCCCTTTCCCCTCTCCCCATCTCCCTGTATCGCGCTTATCATGACATTTCTTGGCATCGCCATCAAACAACAAACGTTGTCGCCCCCCTCGATTTCCTGATTTCCCGATTTCCCAACCCTTCCGTGCATTCCGACTTGCAACCCTTTTTGCAGCGGATTTGCCTTGATTTCTGTCGTTTCGATTTCTGTGTGAATTGTTTGCGGCTGATTGCGGTTCTTAATTTGCTTAAAGATATACCAGAACACAGAGGGGAAGGAATGCTGAAGGGTAGAAGGGTCACAGAGTAATGCAATCTCGTTTCGGTGGTTTCCTGCGGGAATTTCTAAGTTTATTTGATCTTTGGTAGTGGGACTTTTCAGAGCCATGAGTAAATCAACAAGCAAAGAAGTCTTCTGAAAAAAAGCATTTCTTGGTCTTAACACTCTTTTTTAACAGAATACTTTGAGGTAATAATGTTACTCTTCTGATTTCGCTTTTAAGATTCCTGTTAAACCTTTCGTTGATCCTTGGCTCCTCGTACACCGAACACCAAAAGATTGTTGTGTTGAGC